TCTGTTTGGCTTCCTTTTTCCCAGAGGGCTTTGGGAAAGGTACGCCTGAGTTCCTGGACTCAGTAGTTCAAATCTGAAGGTTAAATAAAGATGGCTTCCCAGGAGCAGGTGGTTGCTCCTGGGCTGGCAGTAGGTATAACACATCTGAAGGAGTTTGTACCTCTACTGTGGCCTTCATTCCTAGTTCAGAAAGATCTGGAGCTTCGGCTGGTGTCAGTTTGATTTGCGTTCTTTTCACTTGAAAAAAAGAAGGCTTCTTAAAGTAGAGTTTGAGTGTGAAGCGTGCTAGGGCCACATAGGAAGTCCCTCTAGCGTGGGTTTTCTCAGTTGTGAGATAAGGGTAATCCTTCTCAGGCTGTTACAAGGATGAGATGTAAGATAAAATATGCGTGTGTCTGGCACACAGTAGGTAACCAGCACACAGTGGCAGCATTAAACTCCAGCATATAAACAACTGCATTAGTCTGAGTTGTAAGACTGTAAATGCAGATTCAGTGTTCATCTTGAGACATCCCCTGGACTCTGGAGCCAGGTGTAGGAAGGGGAGTGTCTGCGCACCAGGAACAAGACGGCACTGTGGTCCTGGGCATGGGCAAGGGAAGTACCAGCCCGAGTAAGTAGAGGAAGCAAATCTGTACAGAGAAACGGATGCATCGGGTTGGAAGCAGCAGAGTGTGGCTGAGCAGCGGAGAAATGGTACATGGTTAGACAGTGCTTGCTAGCCACCAGCCAAGTGCGTCCCCTTCAGCCTTCTGACGAGGTACCTTGCGGCTCTTGGGGGCCAGGAGCTCTTGGAACAATATCAGAAACCTGCTGGGTTCTTCCTGAGCTAGCTGGTAGTTCAACTCCTCAGGAGGGTGTTCGGCAAAGGGAAAGGCAGGTGAAAGTAGAGGGGACGAGATTTCTTTAAAAAGAAGCCCACCTGGTTGAGGCCCGAGAAGAGGCTGGATGAGATGACTGGATAACCGTCTCTGAGATGCTGTTTTTAAACCCCATAGCTACAGACTCCATAAGGACAGTCAGCTGTAGGGAAGAGATTTTGTTTTGTTTTGTTTTTTGTTTGAAAGGAACTATGACAAGGGTAGTGAAGGGGGCCAAGCCTAACAGGAGCCATCTGTGTGGTGCCACACTTACCATCAAGTGTACAGAGATGGTCAAGGTTGTGCCCGCTGGGCCTTGTGACATGGAAAGTTTGGGAGTGGTGTGAGCCTTCCCAGGCACATCAGGAAGCCCAGTGGCCAGAAGATACTATGCCTGGGAAATGCTTATGACAGCAGATTCTCTGTATGCTCCAGCAGGGAGAAGGAAGTGAAGTAGACCTTCAACTTAGGGAGCATAACTGAGGAAAGGAGAGCCAGACATCACCGGGCACTTACGCCGACTGAATATCTTCCCGAATGCTCCAAGGAAGCACTCTTTACAGAATTATGGTGATAAAGTGTAGTAGATTAGGGCTGGCAAGAAGTCCAGTTTTTGAGATATTGGAAATCATAAACATTAGTTGTTAATTTTTGATCTACAACAGATTGTTGAAAGGGTGGTGAGACATAGGAAGACTAGCAGTAGACTGTCCTTAGGGAGCGCCAGAACTCACTAAGATCTGGATTTCAGCGAGATGGCAGACTCTCCAGAAGTCTCGTGGACAGATCCTGAGCTTCCTGCCCTGCCCGTCAAACACTGTAGATCAGGGGTACTGCGCTGGGATCACTTGGGGAAAATGTAAAACTCCTAGTGCATGGGTACTGCCAGCCAGAAACCTTGACTTAATTGGCCTAGAACAGACTTGACTGAGGCTCTTGAAGTGAATCTGATGTCAAGGTAGAGACCCTCTGCTGCAGACCAGAGAGGCGTGGCTCCCACCTGAGTTGCAGGTCATGAAGTAGTTTAGTCTCCCGTCTTGCTATGCTGTGGACCATCAGTGTCCTGTCAGGAGTGTAGAATCTCTAGCCTTTTCCCAGACCTTACCCAGGTGGTTTATATAACCATTAGAATTTTTATTTTAAATTTTTTTCTAACCATTAGAATTTGAGAGTGACTCTCCAATGTTTGTGTGAACAGGAGAAGGGGTGGGGCAGTGGGAAGGGGGTCAAAATACCTCACAACCAGGCCCAGAATTCTGGTTGTCAAGGGGGGAAGGAGAACCCAACCCAGGCCCGACTCCGTGTTCATTCCTCTGGAGTCCCTCAGGCTAGTGAGTTTTGAGTAGTATTGTCTAAGGGTGTGATCTGAAGACAGCCAGGAAAGCGCTCAGGCGATGTTTGCTGCTGGGAAGCCTGACCGGGGAGGTTGTAGGCCCACAGGTCACAAGTGGCGGTGTCGGCTAGCGGAGGGAGAGATACAGCTGTGGAGTCTTGGGTCTGGTGGAAGGCTCTGCAGTTGAGCAGCGGATAGTGACTGGGAATTGGAGGTGAGGAAGTGACTATGTTGAAAGATGGTGGGAAGGGGGCTGAGGAGAGTGGGACAGCCTGAGCAGCAAGTCTCTGCCAAATTCCACGGGACTGAAGAAAAGTAGAAAAGTCTAGATTTGTTTGACTTTTTTTTTGGTTTATTTTATGGGTATGAGTGCTCTGTTTGTGCATCATGTGCGTGCCTGGTGTCCTTAAGAGTTAGAAGAGGGTGTTGGATCCCTGTAGAACTGGAGTCATGGATGGTTTTAAAACCACATGAGCACCAGGAATTGAACCTGGGTCCTCTGCAAGAACAAATGCTAACCATGGGCCGTCTCTCCGGTCCTCCTGGGACCTTCTCTTAAAAAGAGCTGCACATGTGAGGAACCTTGATTTCCTGATCAGATAGAGAGACCTGAAACTCTGTATAGGATTTTGTCAGCCTATCTTGAGATATGTCAGGGTGATTACGTATAGGACAATCAGAGGAAGCAGGGCCAGTCAGTTTACAAATGAGTGTGGAAGAGGAGTCAATTCCTTCCTGTGGAGGAGGCTGCAGACCTTCTGTTAGTAGGTTCTAAGCAGGCTGGACTGAAGCAGTGTTAGGAAAAAAAATGTGTTTACAGTTTCCCCTACACTGGTGAGCTAGCCTGAGGGCTGCCCTGTTTCCTGTGCCTGCATGGTTCTGGATAGAGGCTGGACTCTGCAGACTGGTGATACATTATGAAGGCATCCTTTGGAGTGAGAGATCCCTCTGGTCTGTGGGAAGTGTAACAGCAGGTGTATCTTCATATTCCTTAGACAGCTTTATTGCAGAAGAAATATCTAACCTGGGCCATAACATTTTTGGTCACATTTTATACTTAATTTGTGTGTACGTATATCTTTGTGTGTCTGTGTGTGTGCATGCACGTGTGTGGAGGCCAGTGATCAATATTGAGTGTCTTCCTCAATTGCTGTCTACCCTCTATTTTAGAGACAGTCACTGCGTATAGTCATGGTTGGCCTGGAATTCATTATGTAGATCAGGTTGGCCTTGAATGCAGAGACCCTTTTGTCTCTTGCCACCATGACCTGTCCATCTTGTTTAAAAAAAAAATGCACACACACACACACACACACACACAGATCTTTATGTATATGGGAATTTTGCTTGCATATATTCATGTACATCATGTGTAGAGGCCATAAGAGGCAGTCAGGTCCCCTGGAACTAGAGTTACAGATAGTTGTTAGCCGCCATGTGAGTGCTAGGAATTGAACCTGTGTCTTTTGCAAGGACAGCCAGTGCTCTTAACCATTGAGCCATCTTTCCAGCCTAACCCTTGTTGTTTTGAGACAGTCTTCCACTGAGTTTGCAGATTCAGCCTCAGGGATCCTTCTGTCCACCTTTCGGGTGCTGGAATTACAGCACACACTATGCTGGGCTTTTCCATGGGTGCTGGGGATCACAACTCAGGTCCTTACATTTGTGCAGCAAGCACTTTACTAAATGGAACCACTCCACAGCCTTTTTTTTTTTTTTTTTTTTTGGTCATGCTGGGGATTAGACCTCAAATACTTTAGGCAAGTAAGTGCTTTATGACCGAACTACACCCCAAGCCCTAGACTTTATCCTGTAACTGGAGTTAGTCTCAGGTCTGGGTTGAGGTCAGGTTTGTGAGCTTTCTGAAAGGTTCAGCTGAATGTCTCATGAAAGTGTGACAGTGCATCTTTGGGGAGATGGTATATGGTTTTTAGTACATTCTCAAGAATGTTCATGCCGGGCGGTGGTGGCGCACGCCTTTAATCCCAGCACTCGGGAGGCAGAGCCAGGCGGATCTCTGTGAGTTCGAGGCCAGCCTGGACTACCAAGTGAGTCCCAGGAAAGGCGCAAAGCTACACAGAGAAACCCTGTCTCGAAAAACCAAAAAAAAAAAAAAAAAAAAAAAAAAGAATGTTCATGGCCACCCTAGATTTTAAAAGCATTACTTACCTGAGCCATCCAATGTGAGACCCATAAGCTATGGACTGCTATTTAAATTAAAATTAAATACAGTAATGGGCACAATAGCTACCTTCTAATGAGCTGCACATGGCTAATGGTTCTTGAACGGTGCAGATAAAGAATGCTCTTCGCTGGAAGTGGGGGCTCATATCTGTAATCCCAGCACTTGGGAGAAAAAGGCAGAAAGCATTCAGTTAGAGTCTGGCTTAACTCTTTATGTAGTCCAGCCTCTTACTTGATGAGTTCCAGGCCAGTCTCAGCTATATACTAATACCCTGGCTCTAAAAGTTACTGCTATAGAAGATCTATTGGGCAGAGCTATGAGCTGGACATAGGGTGTCCCTATGTGGTCCCCAGATCCGTCCTTACCATAGCCTCTTTCAGGTTGGGGATCATGGCTCATAGCCATGGTAGGGAAGAGAACAATGCTCTCCTGGATTCTAACCTACTACAGAACTCATTCTTTTTTTTTCCTGGTTTTTCGAGACAGGGTTTCTCTGTGTAGCTTTGCGCCTTTCCTGGAACTCACTTGGTAGCCCAGGCTGGCCTTGAACTCACAAAGATCTGCCTGCCTCTGCCTCCCGAGTGCTGGGATTAAAGGCATGTGCCACCACCGCCCGGCTTAGAACTCATTCTTAAAGGCATGGCCATGGATTTCTTTGGAACACAGGGGGAGTAAGGTGTGGTTCCCCACAGGGACCCTCCCCCCGTAGTCCTGATCAAAGCCTCTGTGAACCTTGTTCATGTTAACTTCTGGTCCTGCACATACTTGTTCACAAGCCCGGCCCAGAGTCAGCCCTCTGCCTTCGGCTGTCTCGTGGAGAAGGCAGTGTGGTGGTAGATGGGCTAACTCCAGTGGGACTCAAGTGTCTAGACTCCGTCCCTTCTTTGCCTGTGGAGAAAGACGAGTGCTCAGGAAGAGAGGATGTTAGAGGAGGAGACCCCCTTACCTTTGTGTACCCCGTGTTCCAGCTGGCTGTTCTGGAAGAGTCTGTTAGGGTTGCTACAGGCCTCTGCCTTGTGATCTGTGTGGAGCGAAGACTGCCGTCACTCCTGGACTGTGTACACTTTGGTGGCCTTGTCTACTTGCATAAGAAGTTGACAGCCTGAGTTTCTCCTAATTACTGAGGCAGGGGTGGGGCATGGGCGGCTGGGAAATCAGCTCCGTGTGGGATCATCAGTTGCCTTCCAGGTGAACTCAGGTCTGGGGGTTGCTTGATTGCTTCAAGTAACACAAGAGGTGGGCCGGGTTTTCAGATGGTTCTGTTTGAACTGCTGAACTGACTTGGGGTTCCAGCATTGCTATGCCCGGGGAGTTAGTGGACAGGTTACATGCCTCCCGCTGCTGCTGGCACAGCGACTCCAGGGTCTCAGAATATAGGATGGGAATGTCACTGGCAATCTTAAAGGCATTGGTGAGACTGTGGGTGTCTATACCCCACTGCTCCTCTTGTCAGGGGAAGTCTCAGGAGGGGACACGAAGAAGCTGGGTCAAAACAAGTGGCCAGGTAATGGACTATAGTTCCACTTCTGATTATGTCAGGGAGACGGTTGGGCTGGTCTTGCCTGTCTTTATGCTTTTATTGATCTGCTCCTTACAGAGGTAAATCAGTTCCCCCCCAAAGATGCCAGGAATGATTCTGGCACTCTAGAAGACAGCGGTGGCGGCTCTTGCTTGAGGCCTGGGTGGGGTGGGGTGAGGTGATGCAGGGAGGGGGTGAAAAGAGCTGGCACTAGAACAAGGAAGACACATACCATCTGGAGTACTTCCTGGGTCCCAGGACCTGCAATGTCCCTCTCCCTGGAGAAGTACAGCGCCTCTCTGGTGCCGCCTCAGTTTCCAGAATCAAGGTCGTACGCTTTAACCTGTAGCTAGCCCTATCCAGCAAACCTCTCCCAAGGCAACATTTTCTTACCAGAATGCTGTTAGGAAGCTGGAAGGGAGGAGTGCCTTGAGGACAGAGTCTAGCCTCAGTCACTCTTGGGCTTCTTGCAGACCAACTGGGAAGGGAAGGAACAGGCCTTGAGAGTTGGGATGTAGAGGCTTGTGAAGGATTGAGGAGGGCTCCGACTCTGCTGTGCCTGGACCGCTTGGGGCTGATGGCAGAGGTGTAGAAAGGTTCAGGCAGGCTGCTGGCATACTTGAGGGTGCTCGCAGACCCTTGAGGGAGGTTAAATGCGTTAGTTCCTCTTGGAAGTCTTCCTCCAGGCCACCCTGGGGTTCTGAGGTACTCTGCACCTTGTTTCCGTAGCGTCAAATAGTCCCCTGTTATTTGAGTGGGTCCTGGAACATTTGGTGGTCCAAAAGACAGTTGAATTTGACCCTAACAGTACAACACCTTCTCCTAAGCATCTAGGACAGCGGTTCTCAACCTGTGGGTCGTAACCCCCTTGGGGGTTGCATATCAGATATTTACCTTATGATTCATAACAGTAGCAAAATTATATTTATGAAGTAGCAATGAGATAATTTTATGATTGGGGGGTTTGGTCACCACAACATGAAGACCTGTATAAAAGGGTTGTAGCATTAGGAGGGGTAAGACCCACTGACAGGAGGTGTGGAGTACAGGCAGAGTGGCACTACCTGCCAGGGGCTCAGTGTGTGCACCGTATTGGTCAGAGTGGAAGTGAGGGGTGGGTGTTGGGGCTGCCTCTTTGTCCATCAGGACACCAGTGGTACCTTTCTTGCATCTCATTCTGCCGTACCTCCAAGGAGGAGCATCTTTTTTGCTTTGCTCCTCCTCTGCTTCCTCCTCCTGGTGACTGCCATTGACAGACTTCCGCTGCCAAAGCTAATTGTGAGGTCTGATCAGTGAATGAAGGCGAAGGCAGTTCCCATGACAACCTCGAAGAGTTTCAAATATAGAGGATGATGTATGTGTGATGGGCTGCAATTACTTGGGTGGAAATTGATGCGTGGACACCAGGAAACATAGGCTGCAAGGGCGGAGGGGGTGTTAGGTTTTTGGCAGGATCCTTTGTGTGATGGAGAGAGGAGGAGGTCACAGGTTTCTCCACCGTCAATTCCCAGTGCCTTCAGTGTTGGGTACCTTGGAAAGTCAGGGCTGCAGGCATTCTGGTTGGGGAGGCAGGACACATACACAGAGACAAACCTCAGGTGTTAAGAGAAATGTTAGAAGTGTTATGGACTAGCAACAAGCGGAGGTAACCAGAGAAGGCTTCCTGGAGGAAGTGGGCTTCAACTGAGCAAGGAAGGAAAAACCCTGTGCAGACAAGTCTTGTTCAGGACAAGGCGAGGGAGAGAAGAGACCTGTCTCCGGTTCCCTGTCCCCTCTGGAAGAGGTAGATGGACTTGAGCATTGGAGGACTAGCCACAGTGGCCCTTGAGTATACCACTGTGAGGGAAAGAAAGGCTAGCAGGGGTGCTGCTGGGTCATGTCCGGCTGTGTGGTCTGGGGCAGGGTGTCTAGGACTCTATTGTCTGTCTGTAGAGTGGGTATGGAAATTGTGTCCCCATTTGTGGGGCTGCACAGGCTTGGGGCTTGGTTCCTTTGCAGTCTCCCTCCCCAGTGTGTCTGGGTGTGTCTGAGTTCCTGTTCATCTGTGTGGAGTCTGGTCTATGGATGGCCATGTTCTTGAGGTTTTTCAGTGTGCTTCCAGCAAGTTCCCCATTGACCACCTCTGTGGCCCCCACTCCTGCAGCCAGTATGGTGGAGACTGGGAGATCCAGATGGAAATTAGGGAGGGATCTTTGTCCTTATGCAGAGGAATCCCAAGTACCTCGCAGTTGGTCCCAGGGAGGCTCACATGCAGCAAGAGGGGCATATAGAGAGGAGAAAGATGTCAGGTAGGGAAGGAGCTGTCCTGGCTCAGTGGCCCTGGCATGTGTCTCTGACTGGCATCACTGTCGAGGTGGGCTGGAGTGGGATGAGAACGGGAACAAGCAGGCTGCCTTGGGGGCCACGGGCTCCCTTGGTTTAGCCAAGGGCTGCTGCAGGGCAGGGCGGGTACCCGAAGTTGGGGGAGCACAGAGTTAGCAGAGGGAGATGGGGTGAACTCAGAGTTCCCATAAGCTATAAGAAAGAGGCATGCTGGTCCATAGTCCACAGTGGTAGGTCCTGCCTTTCCAGGAGAGTGGATGCTACCCCCGCCCCACCCCTCCACCCCTGCCTTTGGAGACTTCATGTAGAAGCCTGACCAGGAGAGGGGACTCACCATCTCAGTGTCCAGCCCTCTGCTACTCCACACTCCGGAGGTAGACCGCAGCTCAGCACATTCCAGTTCTGTGTAGAGCCCAGGAAAGCAGGGAAGACAGGGCCCCACCCACGTGGGGGAAGGACTGTAAATAAATAACTGCTTGGATGTGACTGGCGCTCCAGAAGAGGCAGTATGTTGTTCTTGAGGACAGGGAGGAGCCTGGCTAATACTGGGAAAGGCTTGGTGACTGAGGACCTGGCAGAGGGGAAGCACTGTTTGGATTCAGCCATGCAGTACATTAGCATGCGGGGGAGGGGTCAGGAAGCAGCAATGGGAAGAGTGAAAACATTAGTATTCTCAGATCTGTTTGACAGGAAGTGGTCACTTTAAGTGACCCAGTTGTCTTCATATCTCCCTGGGCTTGGCAGAGAAAGGGGGGTAAAGAGGGTGGGAAGGGGCTGGGTTTGAATTCCAGCCCACTAATTTTGAAGGACAAATTGTTCAGCATCTCTAAGACTCTTCCCCCCCCCCAAAAAAAATGTGTAGAGTAGGTAAAATGAGATACTACAGCGTGGTTGGCACAGGACCTGCTGCGTAGCAGGGGCCTGGTACACTGTGGCAGCCATAGTATTAATGGATACTGTCCGAGCTGTGTTTGTCTCTGTCGGGTACATGGGTCTGTAACACGGGGCTTTACGGAACCAAGAGAAAGAAGGATTCACTTAGGCTGGTCAGTGATGTGAGTCAAAAGACAGAAACACAGCCCGGCCGGCGGTGGTGGGGCACACCTTTAATCCCAGTACTTGGGAGGCAGAGGCAGGTGGATTTGAACCAGGCAATGAGAGGCCAGCCAGGACTACAGAGCAAGTTCCAGGACAGCCAGGGCTGTTACACAGAGGGACTGTCTCAAAAACCAAAAACACAAAAACAAACAAACAAAAAAAATCAACCCCCCCCAAAAAAAAAAAAAACGAAACAAAAAACCCCTGCCGCTGTCCCTCACTCTGTCTTGGCATCTGCCTGCCTTCCTGCTCTGGGAGGGACCTAGTAAGGTTGCCCTTTGTCCCAAAGAGGAGGCAAGTGTGAGCCCTGAAGCCGCCTCATGAGAGGCAGGCTTGCCCTTCTCCTAAGGCGGCTTTTCTGGTTCTGAGTACCCCCCGGGGGCCCTGGGGTGGGGCACAATTATGCATCTGTGGTGGAGTGGGTAATAGAGCGAGTCACTAGAGCAGGGGCGCTCATCTGTGAGTCACTTCTCTCAGGCCTCAGCTTATTCATCTGTGAGAATGAGAAAGCACCCTGAGCTCCGGCAGAAATGTAGAGGGCTGCAAGGCAGCAGTACCTACCTTGTGCCGGGCAGCTGGCTGGGTGCCTTCTCAGGGCCTCACAGCTGTGTGAAATGGCTGCTGGCTCCATTCTACAGATGAGAAAAGAGAGGCTTAGAGAGGTAAGTTACCACCGGCTAGGAACGGGATATGTGGGTACTAAAGTGTATGTGAGGTAGCAGCCTGGATGTTATGTTCCCTCTCAGGGATGGAATAGACGGAAGAGGTGCCTGGGAATTTAATACAGGAATGTGAATTGCTAGGACTTTGCCATCCCCCTCACCCCTTCGGTCTCCCGGCCTTTGCACCCTTGGTATGTTTGGAGTTAGGGGACTGTACTGGAACTCTTGAGTTCTGGGAGCCCAGGGGGTCTTTGGAAGGGGCACCTGGTAGAGCCTCTCCAGGAGAGACTGCCACATGACGACCAGCGCCGGTCGGTCGGGAGTGATCTTAGGGTAGTGAGGTGGGTGCCAGGGAGGGCACAGCTGACTTGGGGGAGCGCAGGAAGTATGGGCTACAGCCCATTTTCCCGAGTAGGGTACAAGAGGGCAGGGCAGGAGAGCAAAGAATGGCGAAGGGGTATGGTCTTCAGGGAGGACAGACCTGGCAGGGAGTTTGAGCTCCGCTGCGCTCCAGCGGTGTCACCTTCGGTAAGTTACTCCACTCCTCTGCAGTCTGCAGAGCGCGGGTGTGAGTGTGTGTGTGTGTGTGTGTGTGTGTGTGTGTGTGTGTGTGTGTGTGTGAGAGAGAGAGAGAGAGAGAGAGAGAGAGAGAGTGTGTGAGTGAGTGTGTAGCTCCTGCTGCCCTGAATTCTCCTTGGAGGACTGAAGCTCCAGCTCTTGGCCGGCTGGAGAGTGGCCCGTGTGGGGTACCTGCGTTCCGCGGTACTCCGGGTGCACCCGCCGCCGGAGGTGCAGGGGACGCCTTGTGCTTGTTGCCTGATGGGGGGGTGCCCCGGGATCCCCAGCCTGCCCGGGAAGCAGCCCTTGTGGCTATGGCTTCCTCTACCAAGGCCCCCGCCTGGCTGCTGGGCAGGTCCTTAGCGGGGAGGGCCGGGCGCGGGATTGGCTGGCGCGCGCGCCGCCCCCTCGCACACCAGCCTGGCGGGGCGGGAGCAGCCGGCAGCTGGCCGCCGCCTCTGCAGTGCCTCCCTCGGTGCGCTCCCTCGGCGGGGATAATGGGAGGCCCGGCGGCGGCCGATGCAGTAGAGGAGGCCGGCCGAGGTAGAGCACAGGGCCTGGAGGGGAGGGGAGGCCGCGTGCAGGCCGGGAGCGGGGCCCCTGGATCTTGAGAGACCCGGGAACCGAGCAGGAAAACAAAACACTGGAAGGCGCAGGGCTCGGGAGGCAGCTGGAGCAGGAAGATGGTCCCGTCCAGCCTTTCTTCCCCGGCCCTTTCCTCTCCAGTGCGCCGGGGCCTGTGCAGGACTGCTTTGCTGCTTGCCTGCCACCAGTCTGCCTCACCAGTGTCTTTGGCTTCTTTTGCAGGTGGAAATAAAGGCTGGTGAAGGAACGGGGCCTTGGGCACAAGGGGCGACTGTCAAGGTACCCTGCGTGCTTGCGTGCGTGTGCGTGTGTATGTGTGTGTGTATGTATACGTTTACGTGTGTGCGTGGGCGCGCGCGCGGTGGGGGTGAAGTGTTGGACTGGATTGGATATAAATAAAGGGTCTCCTCTGGTGATTCTTTAATCTCCCACGGTGTGTGTGTGTGTGTGTGTGTGTGTGTGTGTGTGTGTGTGTGTGTGTGTATAGCAGCAGCTGAGGGGGAGGGGCGGCGGGAGTGTGGGCGGCCAATGAATTCTCAGGCCTGTGTGGGTTTTGTTTGGATTCTTTTTGCTTTCTCAGCTGGATGGTTTGGGTGCAGTTGGATTTTGGTTTGTTGAACTGTGTGTATGTGTGTGTGTGTGCGCGCGCGCGCGTGCGTGCCTGTGTGTGTGTTAAAGACATGCAACCTACTCTCTGTCCCTGCCTCTGGGAATCTCTGGAGAATGGCCCTGGCACTGTTGGTTTGCATCCAATCTGCAGAAATCCCCGGGGTGCGTCGCGGGGCATGGGGGGGGGGTGAAAGACAGTAAGGGGGAGGGAGAATTGCACTCCTGACTCCGAAGCTGATAGGGTGTCATTAGTCATGCTGCTGTCGCCATGGAGATGGCTGGAGAGAGGAGAGGAGGTGGTGGGGGTGAGGATATTTTGGGTAGGGTGGGGGCTGATGCAACATCATGGCTAGGAAGCCAGCGGGTGTCTGCTGTTGTTCTGTGCCATTTGGTGTCTGGGAGCCCGGGAAGGCAGTGTTCCCAGGTGTAGGGGAAGCAGAGAAAGGGGCTCTGACCCATTCCAGGTGGGTTTTCAGAGGGTAAGGTGGTGCATTTGATAGGGGGGAATGGAGAGTCCAGGGAGAATCTGATCACTGAGAAGCCATGACTAATCCTTCTAGGTTGGCAAGGACCAGATCAGTAGATTTCCTTCTAGTTTGCCCCAGTTTACAGGGCTGGGGGCCCACCTTAAGTTTGGAATTACTCAGCAGTGTCCTCTAGCCTGGGAGTTGGGGGGGACTGGGACAGAAGAAACAGTGTGGATGTCTCTGGAGAGCAGAGACTGGGAGTGAGTATGGGGAAAGGTGGGCAGGCCAGGCCCAGCGGGGCTCTCCCTGGCTTGGAGGAAACCCGGAGCCCGGTTGCTTAGGTAGCAGGTGGACGAGCTGTGAGTGTCCCAGCATGCTCTTAGTCTTTTCCTGCAAAGCTGCCTCCTACTTCCTGGGAAAGCTGTGGGAAGCTCTGAGCAGGTGCTGGAAATGGCCCTCTGCCACCTCCCTGTCTGGGTGGTGACACTGGCAGGGTGGGGCTCTGCTGTTTCCTGTGTGGGTTGGGGGTTCCTGGGCTAGCTTACAAGGTGGATCTGAAGGCCAGGGTTAGTCCCTGGCCTCTTCCCAAGGAAGTATTTAGAGAAGAACATGGTTTTGCTTCAGAAACAGTTTCTTAGGGAGGAAGAGCCAGGTGACCTCAGCTCGGAGGGAGCTGGCATGCCTTGGTGAGGCTGGGGAGTTGTTGGTAGTCATCTGGAAGGGATCGTGGGAGACCCCCAGGCAAGCAGAAGCATTAGTGATACTGTTTGTGCACGGGCTGCTGAGAGAGCTGTGGGCTCTCATTGGCTGACTTTTGCTCTTGCTGTCTTTTCTGGGGAGCCAGAACCCACAGTTTCCCACCTCCGCTTCCTTTGGCCACCCGCTGCTCACTGGGGGAGTTGTAGTCACTGGGTACACTATTTCAAAAGTGTGGGCACTGGAGATGTTAAGATTCTGAGGCAGACTCTTCTGTCCCCCAACTCCCATGAAAGCAGGACAAAAGGATGGAGACAGATGGGCTCAGGGAGAGGGGGAAGCTCCCTCCTTCTGTCCCTCCATCCTCGTCTGCTTGCTCTCTCCAGCACCCTCCTGCCTGGCTGCTGTGGTGACGGCTCTCCTCGGCAGACCTGCGTCCTTACACTCTGCTAGTGTGCTCCATGTCCACCACCTGTTGTGCTGTCCCGGGATCTAGTCTGAAGATCTTTTGGAGGCCCCCCACCCTAGTACCCCAGCCCCAGCGTTATGAAAGTCCCCTAGGTCTTGCCCTTCCCTGTCCACAGGACTTTGAGTCCTCCCGCTCCGAGCATGTATCTGTGCTTGTTGATGCTGAGCTGCCTGTCTGAGAACCATGGCTTCCTCTCAGCCTTGGCGCCACTGGTACTCAGGTCTGAGCCCCTGCTTTTGGCTTTGCCTTTTTTCCACATTGGGTTTTCTCAGGTGGCCTGTTGCGGGGTGAGAGAGTTTTGCCCGGTCTATTATCAGCTCACGGTAGAAGAGCTCCTCTTGTGGTCAGCATAAAGGGCGTATGTATGCGTGTGTGTATGTGTGCAAGTTCCCACAGGACCGGTAAGCCCCAAGGGTGAATGGTGTCCAGCAGCCAGAAGAAGTAATGCATGTCTCCTTGTATGCTGATGCCGCCAGGAATATCCTGATGTGTGGGTGAACAGTGCCTGGCACGGTCACAGAGCGGAGCTCGGTGAATGCAAGTCGTCAGTTTACTGTATATTATGCTTCATGTCATTTGCCCGCGATGGCCCAGGGAATCTGCCATAGCATCATACCCTGTTGCTACCTCCTCCCCGCAGCTGCCTGGATAGAAGAGAGTGGCCAGTGCCGGGAGCACCAGGCGGCCCTGCTTTTGGGCTCCCACGCTCTGCCTCATGGGAGCGCTGCACTGGCTAAGGATGTCTGGGAACTATTTTGGTGCTGAGCCCAGGATCTCTGCCTTCTGTCTCTCCTTTTGACTACCCCAAAAATGCCCTGTTGAGAATCTGCTGCTTGACTCTCTGGATGCTCTTGGTCACTCCTGTCTGTCCTGTTCACCTGCCCTTCAGCTCTTTGGAAGGTAGAGGAGTCCCCTTCTCTGGAGTCATTTACAAGCAGCAATAAAGTTGAAAACAGGTGGGCCTGTCGTGCTGGAGCAGGAAAGGAACCAGCCAGGGGGATGCCAGGTTTACGTTGGAGAATGGAGAAAGGGCTTCCCCATGCTTGGTAGGAGCTGGAGTTAATCACAGGACTCGGCTCTACCCCTTTGGCAACCCCCGTCAGTCAGTTTTGAATGAATGTCAGAGAAGAGGAGGGACTGTGGCAACATGGTGTAAGGTGGAATGGGAGCCTTCTGTCTGTCCCAGTGCAGGGACCTGGGGCTGCATTCTGAGACCACCGTGATGGCTCTGTTGGCCTCTTGCTGGGCTTGTGAGGAGGAGGGGCTTGGGTGTTCATCTGCTTCTAGCTGCAGATGGACGTTTCTGCTAGAAATGGGCTTTGTGGTTTTGCCAAGTTCCCTCCCATACCCTGGAGGCTGTGGCAAGTGGTTTGGCTGGCTGGGGGGTCGGGAGCTGGGAGTATGGCAGAGGCTTTGTTTTGGCTCAGCTTTTGGGTCTCCCAATCCTCTTAAGACCTCTTTTCCATCCCTGACCTCTTGGGCTTTTGGCCTCATTTCCTCCCACACCCAGACATCTGGCAGTCAGCAGGACCCCCTGTTCCCAGCATCTGAGAGGCTTCTGAGGAGGAGGTGGCTTTCTCTTGGGCTAATCTAGGAAGTCTGTGCAAACAGGACAGGGGCGGCTTGCAGGAGTAAAACCTGTAGCTTGGCAGTCTAACCAGGACTCTGTTCTCATCCCCGCCTACTTTTATCTCCCATTCCTTGTCTCCTCAACATTTGCTGAGCACTCCTGTGTCCCGGTACTAAGTACAGAATCAGAAGAGAGAAGTTACTGTTCGAGTCTTACAAAACCCTTAGACCTAAGAGATGTGGGCTAAATTCCTTCAGTTATAGATGGGAAAGCCAATATTGCCAGTGCGTTTTCATGCATTTAATACCTTTGATCTCTACTGCGTTTGGGGCATATGAACTTGTACACACCAAGCTTCTCATCACATGTGCACTTGGATGTACTAGGCTTTCTTTGTGGCTTATTGAACCTCAGGGGACTTGGAATGAAAAATCAACATGCCAGCCTGGTTAAGGTTCGTGAGTGCTTCCAGGATCTGGTGGTGATGTATTAGGGTCTTGTGTTCTGAAATGGGTACGGTGGAAAGAAAGCTTGATTTTTGAAAAGAAAGTGTTGGGTTTGAGATGCAGAGGGGGCCGGATAAAATACTACGCCCGGGGCTGTTCGTGTGAACTTGGAACTGCTTGCAGTTCCTCAGGAGTGAGGGTCTCCTGGTTG